CTTTAAATTCATATTAAGGAAAACATCTGTGTTCTAGAAAGTTAATAGCCTGAATCTACAGTATGGAGAAAGAATACAACCTGGAGGAAGAATAACCTGACCTGACCATTGCATGAATCTCATAAGAAATTTATGGGCTTGATCTAAGGCAGCAGCAATGGGAACAGACATTGGGCCAGTTTCAACTTGAGAAACATTTTAAAAGTGAATCTATTGGTCTTGATTAACTATTGACTAAAGGAGAAATGAGGGAGTAAGGAATTTAAGGAGGACTTCAAGATCTTAGCTGGAGCAGCTGGGGAAAAGGTAACATAATTAAAATCAGAATTAAGAACAGGAAAAAATCTAAGGTGATTTTAGAATATCCAGTTTAAAGATTTAGCATTACTACTACTGAAAGTGACAGGCTTTCAGAGCCAGCTTGTTTTCCTTGAAAACGTGTATTTTGAGAGGCTGGATGGCTATTTCAAGGAGAACATATACAGGAGACAGGAAGTATGCTTTCAAATTATTTTTAAATGCAGAATATTAAATAAATGCAATACATGTTCCATCTAATTTTCAGACTTCTTTTGGTGGGGGGGGGGTCACATTTTTGGTACAAAATTCCTAAAATTAAGCAGGTATTATGAATTCCACTCCCCATCCCACCACCCCTTTTTTTTTTTTTTTTCCTTTTTGTCTTTTTTCGTGACCGGCAACGGATTGCAACCCTCAGTGTCGCGCCCACACCGGACCGGGACCAGCAACGGGATCACAACCCTTGGTGTCACGTCCGCACCGCGCTCAGCCAGTGAGCGGGAACCGGTCTGTATGTGGGATCCGAACCCTCGGCGGGAGCGCCGCCACACTCCCAAGCGGCACACCGTAGCAGTGCACCACCGGGCCGGCCCTACCTCTCATTTTACAGGTAAGAAACAATCTGAGAGACTGTCACTTGCCCAACTAGGTGGAATAAAACTCTCATTAACCGCCCCCCAAAAAAACAAACAAAAAACCCCCGTTCAGTGCATTTTCCACATACCATTCACAAATTTTTGGTGAGTTGTCATTCTTCTAATTTGCCAAAGGTTATTTTGTGATAATACTTGCTTCAACCACTAAATTTAATTTTAAAACACTCAAAAGAAGGAAGAAAGAAAATTTATTCTATTTACTGGAATTTTTGCTCTTTTAATTCTTCTTTCTTCTTCCTGATATTCCAAGAGTCCTTCTTTTACCTTTTCCTTTCTGTTTTGAGAACTTCCTTTACTATTCTTTTAGAAAAGGTCCACTGGCAACAAATTATCTTAGTTTTCTTTTATCTGAGAATGTCTTAATTTCCTGAAAGATATTTTCACTGGATATAGAATTCCAGTTTGACAGTTCTTTTCTTTCAGCACTTGAACTATATTGTGCCACTTCCAACTGGCATCTGTGGTTTTGGGTGAGAAATCTGTTGTCATTTGAATTCTTTTGTCCCTGTAAGTAAGGTGTCAGTTCTCTGATATGCCTGATATGTCTTGGTATTTATTTCTTTAGGTTTATGAAGAGATTCATAATATCTTTCAATTCTATTTTTCCACCAACTTTTTGAAGTACCCTCCTATTTGGAGTTCACCCAGATTCTTGAATCTGTGGGCTGTCTTTTGCCAAATTAGGGAAACTTTCAGACATTATGCCTTCAAATATTTTTTCTATTTTTCACTTGTTTCAATAATTGCTCACTGAGGTAGTTTTATGATGGTTGCTTTAAAGTCTTTGTCAGATAATTCTAACATCTGTGTCATCTCAGTGTCAGTGTCTCTTGATACATTTTCTCACTCAATTTGAGATTTTCCTGGCTCTTAGCAGCAACAAATGATTTTTAATTGAAATCTGAACATTTTAGGTATCGTGTCATGAGACTTTGAATCTTACTTAAATCTTCTATGATGGCAAGCCTTCTATGACACCACCCCAAGTGGGGATGGAGAAGGCTGCCTCATGACTGCCGTTACTGCCAGGTAGGGGTAGGCCAGGCTTCCCCACTTTGCAGGAGTGGAGAATTACCATCTCATTACCATCATTACCATCTGGTGGAGATAAAAATCCCAGCTCTCTATTTAGCCTTCTCTGAAACCACCCTGACAGTGGAAGTGGGGCACCTCACTACATCCTGGCAAGGGTGGAAATCTAGGCTCCTTACTCAGACTTCGTTGGCATGCATGGGGGTAGGGCCACATTTCTGTGATGTTTAGCTAGAACAGAGCAGTTGTTCTCTAAGAGTTTTCTGTCTTGTTAGGCTGCCCCTCTCCTGATCCATTGGCTAGAGAGAACAGGCTTATATGAGAGAACGGGGATATATGAGGCAAAGAGAAAACCCTTGGACCTCATTGCTGTGTTATTCCTTGCATCCAGAAGTCACTAGCCAGACTGCTACCTTTTTTCTACCTTTCAGAGTTTTCTCATGCCTGTTCTACATATAATGTCCATGGTTTTTAATTGTAATTAACACACAAAAAAAACCAGGGAAAAGTGACTTCATTTCTTTTTTTTTTTTGGTCTTTTTTTTTTTACTGACCAGTAACGGGATCACAACCCTCGGTGTCGTGTGCATACCGGGGACCGGCAACGGGATCGCAACCCTCGGTGTTGCGCCCGCACCGCGCTCAGCCGGTCTTTTTTTTTTTACTGACCAGTAACGGGATCGCAACCCTCGGTGTCGTGCGCATACCGGGGACCGGCAACGGGATCGCAACCCTCGGTGTTGCGCCCGCACCGCGCTCAGCCAGTGAACAGGAACCGATCTCCACATGGGATCCGAACCCTCGGCGGGAGCACCGCCACACTCTCAAGCGGTGCACTCTCCAGTGCGCCACCGGGCTGGCCCGACTTCATTTCTTTATGATTTTTAAAAAAGTCTTTTCATATTCTATTTTTAAAGCAATATGTACTGTTTATTTACTGTGTCCTTCTAGATTTGTCTTCAATCTTGAAATTACTTTAAAATTTTAAAAATTCTTTCCTAATTTCTATCATCTCATTTCTGAATTTTTCTAGTTCTAGTTATATTGTTCTTTCATATTTGTATCATTTTCTTATCATATTTTAGCTTGTTTTGGGATACTATGTTATAATTTCCATCCATTTTGTGAGCCTATTTTTGTTTTTAATGCTTTCATGTATGAAAGAGTTTATCCTACTCATTATTCTTTTTTCTTATAATAACTGTGTGATTTGACCTTGATATATTTCTGTTGCTCAATTTTAAGTAAAATTACTTTTCCCTGAACTTTTACAAGGGAGGCTTGATGTAGGACAGTTCTTTCTAATTTTTCAGCTCTCAAGCTCACTCTTCTGTTGTAGTGCAATGTTCAGATATACGACAGCTTACGTGGTGAGATCTCCTGGCCCTGCTCCCTTCTGACTGTTATCCCACCTATCTTTTACTTTGTCTCTACTCTCCCTATCCCACTCAATTTGAATTCTATTCCCAGGTTTTTCTCCTCAGTGTGGAACTTTCTCCTGGAAAGAAATGTTGGCTGGTGATGGGGTTTGGATGTGTTGTCCCCTCCAAAACTCATGTGGAAATTTGATCTCCAATGTGGCAGTGTTGGAAACTGATTGAGTCATGGGGGCGATCCTTCATGAATGGATTAATCTCCCTGGGGGAGGGGAGATTAATGAGTGAGTTCTCTATTAGTTCCCGCGAGAGCTCGTTGCTTAAAAAGACCCTGGCACCTTCTCTCTCTCTCTCTTGCTTCCTCTCGACATGTGATCTGCTTGTACCCACTGGCTGCCTGCCACTTTCCACCATGAGCAGAAGCAGTCTGAGGCCCATGCCAGATGCAGCTGTCCCAGAATCGTAAGCCAAATAAACCTCTCTTCTTTATAAATTACCCAGTCTCAGGTATTTCTGTTATAGCAACACAAAACAGACTAAAACAGCTGGTTCATTATAAGAGTAAATAAGGCACAAACTGCTCCAGCCCCTTCAGATCCTACTATAGATCCCTTAAGCTCACCCTGCTACTACAATATACAAAATTCTTTCCAATTCCAGATGCTATTCTCAAGTTGGTTTGCTGAGGAGGCACAAACTGCTCCAGCCCCTTCAGATCCTACTATAGATCCCTTAAGCTCACCCCGCTACTACAATATACAAAATTCTTTCCAATTCCAGATGCTATTCTCAAGTTGGTTTGCTGAGCTGCTCAATATCTTCTAGCCATACTGGATCCTACTGGTCTTCCCAATGCTCCCCTTTGCTCACTCCTGCACAGATGCTGATATCACACAGGTCTTGTAGCAATCAATGGTTTAGCCCTACCCATTTAGGTAGATACCTTCTGACCAAGTTTTGTTATAGATGTTGCTCATGTGTTTTTGATTCTGCTATCCTAGTGGTTTTGTGTGTTTTGATGACTATATTTGGGGGATTCAGAAACTATGCCACCACGGCCATCTTCCCAATATCCCTTAAAGAACAGATGCTGATTTTTGACAATCTTCATCAATAGAAAATAACCAGAAAACATTTCCAGGTCACAAAATCAGCACGAGTAAGTGTTCATAAATTCTTCTAAAAGTCAATCTCCATAGCTAATTCCACTGTGACAACATATGATTTTCCTTCAAAATGAATGACATGGATCAGCAAATAGATATTGAATCCTGGGATAATTTCCACTAGTAAACTATAAGTTCAAACCATTTGACCTATGGTACTAGTAATTAAATTAAAAGATAAAGCAATCTCCTATTTATATAGAACCTACTATATGTACCTAGAGCAAAATACCAGAGACAGTATCTAGAAAAGATGCATTATTGCTTATCATGACAATGATTTATTTGTGACTCTCAATTTTAAAAACTCAACACATGTCAAAAAAGTTTGGAAGACTACTACCAAAATATTAATAAGGATTTTTCCCCAGGTTGTGAAATTACTTATAGTTTTTTTTTGCTTATCTGTACTTCATAAATTTTCAAAATGGGAAACAAAGCTTCCTGCAAAAATGTTTAAAACAACTTACGCTAGAACCATGTTGTAATCTGAGTGGTTGAACATATATCCTCCAACAACCCACATTATATTTCCACTGACCACAGCTTTATGAGAAGCTCTGGGAAGCTTGATGTTAGTGTATTCCTCTCGAGTCCAAAAAGACTGGTTAGCTGGTACGGGAATTGAACATCCAGGACCTAATAAAACATAACAAATTAGCTTCACAAAACGCAGTGTTAAATCTTATTGTATTTCAAGTTTTAATCACCTAAATGTAACAAATATTTAAAGAATACTTAGTCTTTCCTTCAGCATCTAAATATCAGACAAATCCCTCTAATTTGTGCTTTTAATTTACTCCAGGTATTGACCAATGATAATCCCTAATAAAATTCAAAATCACATACTTTCTAATGACAACTTGACCACATCCAGCTTAGGTTTTTTAGAAATGAAATATTTGCTTAAGCAGCTCTCAAGGGAAAGCCTAGACAAAGGAATTATTCAAATGAAAACTTTTAGGGCTAAAATGTAATGACTAGACCAGGGAGTAATCATACAAACTCTCCATCTTCTGGAAAATCAAAAAACTTAAACATGCGGATGCAACAGCCTCCATTCTTGGGAAGTTTGGCTTCTGCTGCAACATTTGCAGGGTGGTAGGTACTCAAATACTTCAATTATTAACTCCTTGATGTCAGCCAAACTCAACAAACTAAAGCATTTAAACAAATACACTTCCTTTTAAAATAAAAAGGTTTTGAGGAAGGGGCAAGTATATGAAGAAAATCTCTAAATCAATAACAGCTATTATCACCCAACCCTTAAAGAATTCCCTAAAGCTTTTCTAATAATCTCTTTCCATTTCTACTGATAGATGATGCCATCGGCTGACTGTGTTAGGATTCTAATATTTAACTGACCCCAATTTTCTCTGACCTTGGACAGTTTCTGAGGAAATACCATTATTGTCAGCTCTTGTCCCACCTCCCAGCTTGGTTCTCTGCTATGTCCTTTTATGACTGAGACCAAGTTCTCTAACTTTCATGAATGGGTTGCAAAGGTCGAACCCCCCACAATTCTAAAGAGATCACAACCATGCATCTGTGAAATAGAAAGATTTGTAAGAAACTAAATAAAAGGATGTAAAAGCAAAAATGCTATCTGATATTTGATTAACATAAGATATACAGATGGTAAGAATAAATCAATCTGTAATTTATTAAACTGGGAACATTCTATAAATTGAAAGAAAAATAAAATGAAAAAAGTTCCTACCCTGCCACTCTGAGAAGCAGGAGCATCCTCTGACATCACTTGAATTGCAAATGCCTCGATGGGGAAAACCACAGTTATCTGTACAGTGAGGAATGTCACACGCTTCACCTTTCCAGTTTTCAGAACATTCACACTCAACTGTGTTGCTGTTATTACTGATCTTACATTCTCCTCGGCCTGAGCAATTATTCGGGCACATGTCAAAACTATGAAAACAGTGAGGAAAATTAAGATAACACAAAGCACATTTCAGTTAATTTAGCAGAACTTCCTCCTAGACATGGTTTAAGAATCTCGCTCTCTCTTTAGTTCCCTCACAAGCATAACTGCAGTACTTACCATTCAGCCCAAATGGGGTCACTCAACACTGCATAGCTAGGTCCTGGTTACAAATAATGAAATCAAATCAACCCTGCTGGATTCTCACAATTAAAGGATAAGAATTTTAAAACTCTTAAAGTTAAAGAAATTACAAGGAGAGAAGAGATTCATGCAAAATTGTCCAGATGTAGCTCCTCAAGGGCAGGATGACTATTCTATTCTTTTTAGGCTACTAATGATGAGTGTTACAAAACTGCCAGATTCATGCTTACAAGTTTGGGGAGGAACAGGATAAAACATGCTGCCAATAACACTACCACTTTCATGTACATATCCCTCTGAATAGCCTCTGAAATTTTATAGAATTTATGACTACTGCCCAGATTGGTGTATTTAAAATTCCTTTGTAACTTTATTCATTTCAGATGGAAGAAGGAGAGCTCTTTTAACTAAATGTAAGAGTTTAACTATAATGACTCATAATAACATGACAAGATAATTGTAATGACAGCACTTTGAAATGACATAATTCAGATTTCAAAAAGGGGAGCTAAATGGACTATCAAGGTTCTTTAAGAGTATGGATTACTTCAACTACTGAATATATGACAGTACATGACAACTATTAATATTTGTTAAATTGTACTTAGCAAAAACTCTGGTATTTTTAATCCATTAGCAGGAAAATGCCCCTCTTTTCCAGAAGTTCAACAGTTGCAACACATGGGCTGAAACTATAATCCCACCACTTACTTTGACAATTTATATAACCTTTTCCTGACAGTCTCCTCAATTATAAAATGTGTATAAAAACAGTTTCCACACCTCATTGAGTTTTTAAAAGAACTTTAAATTAAAAAATCCGCACAAACTGCATAGCGCAATGCCTGGCACATTCTAAGTCCTTGAATATATGTTAGTCATTATTATTGTTAAAACAATGGCCGGCCCGGTGGCGCACTGCTACAGTGCGCCGCTTGGGAGCGTGGTGGCGCTCCCGCCGAGGGTTCGGATCCCACATACAGACCGGTTCCCGCTCACTGGCTGAGCGAGGTGTGGGAGCAACACCGAGGGTTGCGATCCCGTTGCCGGTCCCGGTCCAGTACGGGCGCGACACTGAGGGTTGCAATCCGTTGCCGGGCACGAAAGAAGACAAAAAATATATATATATATATATATAGTCTTTTGAATAAAATCACAAATATTAGACTTAAATGTCTTGCACGAAAGAAGACAAAAAATATATATATATATATATATATATATATATATATATAGTCTTTTGAATAAAATCACAAATATTAGACTTAAATGTCTTACTTGTAAGTGATATTAAATCCAGTCAAATTATAAGCAGCATCGCTAAAAAAATGCAGCAGGGCATAACCTGATGTGGCAACAACTTCAGGGACGGTCTCATTGCCATCTCTCTCAGGAACGATGAGGCCACTAAAATGAAAACACATTTCTTATAGAGGGAAACACAATCACAGACACACCAAATTGTGGCAGACACAAATTCAAAATTGCAATTCATCCTCACAGTTTTAAAAACCACATCCAGGAAGAGGGGCAAATTCCTATGATAAATGCATAGTGCTACCCTATTAACACTGAATCCTCTGAGGAACAGATCTGAACCTTTTCCTAGGCTTCCTTTATTATTGGTTATATTTCTAATGACATTTGAAATCAGTGGCCCCATTCTTTTTTTTTATAAAATTTTTTATAATGTGCCTTTGAAAAGCTAAGTAAACCTTCACAATCACATAAAGTAACAAAACTTTATGAGCCGATGAATGCCAGATATTAATATTGAAATCCATGAAATAATTTTGTATAAAATATTTATTTATATAAAAATAGAAAGAAGCTAAACATAATCTCAACACTGTTAATATTCTAATGTATTTTCTTTGCCTAATTTATATCATTTATATTTTATATTCTATTTTACAAATAATACACCAAAAGCATTTCCAGTGTCACTAAAAGCTCCCTAGGCTCTCCCTACGACTTCACTCAGAGCCAGACATAATACATTCTAAATGTATTTTCTGGGTGACTGGTGAGAAGAAGAACTACTAAGAATCAAAGGATCTAAATGATGGTTTTAAGACTCTTGAACCATAATATCAATTTGCTTTCCAGAGAGACAGGCCGACTTGAAATCCTATCAATATAGAATGAAAGGGTCTATCCCACCTCACCCTGCCAACCACGAGGGTTACTAGTACTATTTTAGTTTGCTAATTTAGTAAGTGAAAAGCGACTTTTTTATTGTGGTTCTGAGTTCTTTTATACTCCTGAGGTTAATCACTTTTCCTGTGTTTACTTACCATTTGCATTTCTTCACATGCTCATGACTTTCGCCCCATTATCAATTCACCACCACTACCACGATCACATTCAGCAAAAGCCCAGATCCTTACCAGGCCCTATATAATCTGCTCCACACACACAAACTCACCCAATGAACAAACGTCACATCTCCTGTTACTCTCTTCCCTTTACTCCCTTGACCCAGCCCCCTTGCTTTCCTAGAGCACATACCAGGTAAACCTTGCCCTCCGGCCTATGACAATCCTACGTGCACATCCACTCTGTCCCAGCAATTCTATTTCTTTGTAGACGAAATACTTGCTCATGCACACAAAGACAAACATACAAGAATCCTAACTGCAGCACTACTCAGATGGCAATAGGTTGAAACCACCTAAATTAAATGCTCATCCATAGGAAGCTGGCTGAATGAGTCATTACACAGCTGCAGGTCAGCAGGGCTAACAAAGAGCTCATCAAAGCCATTTTGATAAGTGAGAAGAGGAAAAAGCAAACTACAAAACAAGGCACCAAGTATGTGTATTCATTTACACACACTTAAGTGCATGTAAAAATGACTGAAAGAGTATATAAGCAGGGAATGAAATTGAGGAAAGGACAGGGTTTTCATTCAATTTTTAATATGAAAACAGAACTCTAGGAACCCTAACACCCTGAAGGTGCTCCAGGGTTTACAAAACCGTGATGCATATTCTACTATGAATTCAAGTAACAAATATTTACTAAGCACTTACTACATGTGAGGCACCACACTACCAGGAATGCAACAGTGAAAAAGACAATATCTGGGGCCAGCCCGTGGCTCACTTGGGAGAGTGCGGTGCTGATAACACCAAGGCCACAGGTTGGGATCCTATATAGGGATGGCTGGTTCGCTCGCTGGCTGAGTGTGGTGCTGACAACACCAAGCCAAGGGTTAAGAACCCCCTACCGGTCATCTTTAAAAAAACAAAAAGAAAAGAAAGAAAGAAAGAAAGAAAAAGACAATATCCCTGCCCTCATGTAGTTTCACATTAGAGAAACAACAAATAAGCCTGGATACACCCACACACACAGGTGTGTGTATGTATAATGCCAGGTAGAGATAAATGCTACAAAGGGAAATATAGAGGAGAGGAAAGGAACAGGAGATGCTACTTTAGAAAAGGGAGATAGGGAAGGCCTCTGGGAAGAGGTGACTTTGGAGACCTAAATGAAGGTTTCATCCATCACCATACTTTCACCAGTTTTATATACCAGAATCCCTGGAAATGCTGAAAGGATAAATACTTGCAAAAGCAGGACCACCTAGAAACAAGTATGTCAATAGCAATGTACCCGTAAGATATACTGGCACAGAACTGGAAGCTTCAGTCACATGTGGGAGACCTTGAAGCCTCTTGTTATCCTAGCATGAATTTCAGGATCAAAGAGACATGAGCTCTGATCCTTGCTCCATAAGCCTAGGCATGTCACTGACATTTCTGAGCCTCAGTTTCCTCAAATGCACAATGACAGAAATCCTGCCTACCTCACAGTGATGTAGTAAAGACAAACTGTTAAGGCATGTGGAGTGCTTACACAGTGTCTCACGCTAGCAGGTGCTCAATAAATGGTGGCTGATAGTATTCTTTATATGAGGGTACTTCAAAAAGTTCATGGAAAGATTCATATTATCTTTCAATTCTGTTTTTCCACGAACTTTTTTTTTTTTCCTTTTTGTCTTTTTTACTGACTGGTAACGGGATCACAACCCTCGGTGTCGCGCCTGTACCAGGGACCGGCAACGGGATCGCAACCCTCGGTGTTGCACCCGCACCGCGCTCAGCCAGTGAGCGGGAACCAGTCTCCACATGGGATCCGAACCCTCGGCGGGAGCGCCGCCGCACTCCCAAGCGGCACACTCTCCAGTGCGCCACTGGGCAGGCCCTTCCACGAACTTTTTGAAGTGCCCTCATATAGTAGGAACACTTCAATGTGTAGGATGAATTACTTTATCAGCTACAACTACATGATGCTGGAGAAAGTAGATCAACTTCCCCACTGTCAGAGAGGCTTAGGCATTCACTTCTTTTTTCACTTCAAAAACTTGAAATTGTGACATCTTTGGACTGTGATTTCTCCCAGGGTGAAAACAAAACAACTGGTTTATGACAAAAACAAATTTTTACAGAGTAAATGAACACAAACACAGCCTCCCCCTGCACACAGGCCATGTAAAGTGTGTGGGTGAGGGAAAGAGGCTACAGGCATACCACTCAACTGTCATCCTGAGCTGCCTCCCACCCCTCATCCCTACCCCCCAGGTAGATCAATAAATGCAGGCAGAGCTTAGGCTGCAGCCCGTTGTTCAACTTGAGTAAATCAAGAACTGTCTGCCCTTGGGTTGCTCATAATCTTATATTTTAAACACAGAGCACCACTGTTAAGAACCATTTTTGAAAAAAAAATCACTGAACTAAGATAGTTTCTTAATAACATGAAATTCAGCACAAGTGTCACAAGTAAACATGGGCTCTCTGAATACACCTGGGGCATAACCTGGCTTTACCAACTATACTATGTAAGTTTACTAGTACTACTCTGTTTAACACACCTGTCTTCTTGAAAGACTAAAAGCTCTTCAAGGGCAGAGAGATGTGGAAAGTAAGGCAGATTCTTAAAGTCAGGGGTCAGTGCCTGGTGATGGGGCCAGGAAGGATCTACACTTTTGACTGGTGAAGGAGAGGCCAAGAACCTGAGAGAGGTTCCTGCCTTTGACAGCCTTCTCTAAGTGTGTCATGGTATGATCAGGGTTCAACTGGGTGCTGGACAGACTGACTTCTGCTTTCATAAGGCTTCCTCTATACCATCACAGTGTAACAACTGCCACAACAATATGACTTTCTTCAAAACAAAACAAAACAAAACAAAAACACTAAAAGGAATAATGTTCTCTGAAGAATGTTTTCAGGGAGGAAAACCACTCACCACTACCACCTCTGTGTCCCTCTACCAACAGATCCTAGCAGAGTACCTACTCCACAAAGGTACTGCATACCTGCATCTGTTGAATGTACCACAAAGTCATAATGTTGTAGAGCTGAAAGGGTCTTAAAGATAAATTTCTCCAGTGGTTCTCCAATTTGTCTAGTAATGGAACTGTTCGTTAAACAAATTTCATTCAGAACTTCAATATATAAAAGATAAATGTGACCCACCAGTTCAGCGTCAAATGAAACTTCATAATTTGCATTACATCCGTAGAAAACACAGGTTGAACTAACACAGTACAAATACCTTCATTTTAGGTTTTAGGAGCTGAGGTCTAAAGCACTTAAATAACCTATTCAATTCACACAGAGACTTGGGCAGAACCCAGATTAAAAGCCCACATCTGAATCCTGTTTTGTTCTTCCTTTCTTTATTGTCATTGGTCCTGGCTGACTATCTGCGGCCAGGCTCTCTCCACTTTGGACCCTCAGCACATCACCACTGGGTTGATTTCTCTATCCAAAGTGCTCCTGGACCAATGGCACTCCTCAACAAACCATCTTGTGGCATTGCCCTTATGGTCTAAGACAGCTATTTTCAAACTGTTCTGCACATCAGTGCCTTACGGGGTTTGTGTTTCAGGTAAACTTCAATTTGTATATATTTTCTCACTATAAGTTTAGAAAATTCCCACTCAAATATGTCATAAATTAAATTTTAATACAATCAGTGCATTCATTCATACTGTCAGTTAACCAGCTTTTTTTTAACAGAAACCTAAGAGTTTCTCTATTCGTACTATACTTTGGCTTCTCTCAAAAGCCACTGATTAGAACAATTATAGTCTTCTACTTGTTTTGTTTTTGCTGTTGATGTGGAATTCACATGTCTGCTCATCAAATACACAGTCCCAGTGAACCACGGGGTTATGCACACCTGCTTGGCTCATGTTCCTACAAGGGCTACTGGTAAGTAGATTCAAAGTGCCCGGCACATAATAGTGGCTCTATGAATTTTGATTAATGAATGCAGTAACAAGTGAATCCTCAAAAAGTACTACTATGATAACATCATATTTAGTTTTCCTGCTTATGTTAAAGTTTGGGGTGTCTCTTGTATATGTATGTTTCAAATACTGGTGTAAGGATATACATGCCCAACACTTGGCCAACGCCACTTATATCCTTACCATGGCCTATCCACCCTGCTCTTTGGCCCAAAAGTCAACCTTTAAAACCCAGAAAATGTCCTGGTTCTCAGTTCAAAGATATGTTGGAGAGTTTTCTAAGCCAAAGGGGGTGGAAATACACAAGGGCACATCAGTCCCCTGACCTCCTGTCCCTTGGTTCCTCGCGTACTGTTTAATCCCTGTTATGTCCCTCACCCACATGGGACATTCCCGTATCTAACAGGAAAACAAAAAAAATTTGTTGAATTGATTCCTTTTTATCAGCTCCATGTTCTACTGAGTTAGCTAACCAGCCAGTCCTAATTTCCTTCCTTCCTTCCTTCCTTCCTTCCTTCCTTCCTTCCTTCCTTCCTTCCTTCCAAGACCTCCTAGTGCTGAAGAGAGTGTATAGGATTATCCTTTGGTATGGAAGAAAGGGTATATGACTTTATCTATCTATCATCTATCTATCTATCTATCTGTCTGTCTGTCTGTCTGTCTGTGTCTGTCTGTCTATTTTGGTGGCTAGCCAGTACAGGGATCAGAACCACTGACCTTGGTGTTATCAGCACCATGCTCTAACTAAATAAGGTAAGCAGCCAGCCCATTTTCTTTTCTTTTGATGGCTGGCCAGTATAGCTGACTTTTTTATTCAGATATCATATTCCATTTTCTTTTAGCTGACTTCTTTTTAAATTTAAGGAAATAAGGGCCGGCCCGGTGGCGCACTCGGTAGAGTGTGGCGCTTGGGAGCGCAATGGCGCTCCCGCCGAGGGTTCGGATCCCGTATAGAGACCGGTCCGCTCACTGGTTGAGCGCGGTGCGGGCGTGACACTGAGGGTTGCGATCCCGTTGCCAGTCGCGGTGCGGGCGCGACACTGAGGGTTGCGATCCCGTTACCGGTCACGAAAAAAGATGAAAAGGAAAAAATAAATAAATAAATTTAAGGAAATAAAATGTTTAAGGAAAAGAATTTTAGAAAGTCAGTTACATGGGGCCGGCCCGGTGGCGCACTGTGCTAGTGCGCCGCTTGGGAAGCGCGGAGGCGCTCCTGCCGAGGGTTCGGATCCCATGTGGAGACCGGTTCCCGCCCACTGGCTGAGGGCGGCGCAGGCGCAGCACCGCGGGGTGCG